GGAGGAGAGGAGAAGAAAAGAGAGGAGAGAAGAGGAGAGGAGAGGAGAGGAGAGGAGGGAGAAAGATGCCTAGGTGATGCCTCCAGGAAGGATCACTGTGATTTTTTTTTTTTATCTTCACGCTCTGTCTTGAGTGAGTCTTTATAAGCACACTAAAGCTTAGGGTAGGAAGAAATCTTCAGTCAACTACAAGACAGCAAACTCTGGTTAGGGATGGGAAACGTCGGTATAAAGAGATTTTGCTGTTTGGTTCCAGCTCCCCGTGAATCCTGAGTTTTGATACCAAAAACTTGTCTTCAGATACTCACCAAAGTGTATAAAAACACCTTTTTCTTCCTTCTCTACCCTCTAGCCTTCCTCTGCTCTGGTAGTTACTGTCGTTATCATCACTGTACTGTGTAGAATACCATCCATACTGTAAGACTCCCATAGGAGCCAGGGCACGGTGGAAAGGTGAGAATAACCCATGGTCTGCAGAGCAGAGAGATTGCATACACATTCAGAGAGGCCCAAAGAAGACTCAGGGCAGAAACTTGGGGTGTCAGAGAGCATGGCATGGAGAGGAGGAAGGACAGACCTGGAGAGAGCCTTGTGCGCCGGAGCATTGCCCAGGCTTCGGCAGACTTGGGAGAGCCCTGGAGGTCCTGCTGGGAACTGCCATGCCTAGATAGTCGTTCTGGGGGGCTGCCACTCACCCACCACACTTGGCATTATTGCTAAGACAATAACCAGGCTTTTCTCCAGAAGGTCGAGGAACTGTGGTCTCTCTTCTTGGTTTCACCAGTGTTTTTAGTTATGAAGTTGAGAGCCCTTTAGAGAGGTTCTCCTGCCAAATGTAAACCTGAAGAAAAGGTTAAGTACGACAATAGCTAAATAGATGTTCCCCCTTCCCAGTACATCCGTTAAGTGTCTCAAGTTGGTTCTAACAAAGGAGGTGGCTCCCATGCAGAGGAACTGGCTCGCTTCCAAACATGGCCAGGAGTTTTTCTAATGAGCTGTCACCACTGCAAACACATCGTTGTGACTGTGTGCTACATTCCTTCAACGCTTTCCCAGAGTGCTCTGTGGTTTCCTGTCTTGCTGCATCTTCACAAACCCTGGATAGAAGAGCCACGCCGTTTCTCGCCAGATCTGCCCCTTTACCTTGACCAGCTACCTGCCGTATATATAGCTATGCATATAGATATCAGTGTGTTTGTTTCTTGTGTTCCTCTCCCATGTGAATGTGAGCTCCTAGAAGCAGCAGTTTTCATCTCTTTGGTTCACTGTTGGATCCCCAGCACCAAAATGGATTCCTGGCATATAGTGACCCTCAGTAAGCACTTGCTGACTGAGGAGCTGGAGACCAAGGTCTGAATCTGATCTTCATGGTGTTTTGTACCAGTTGTACCCTTTTGGTGTTGGAGATCTTTGTAGGTGGCATCCGAGCACAAACCCTACACCTTTCCTTTAATTTTTCTGGAAATGGTAGGCATGCAGACCCCAAACCTGTTTGCATCAACTTTATACATTTCACCCCACCAGCTCTTCGCCCAAGGCTTGTAGAATTGACCAGAGAGAAGGGAGAAATCCAAGGGAGGTCATGCAAGTAAAGAAAGCTGAACCAGTGTCCCTCATGAACACAGACAGACAAATCTTTGGCAAGGTATTAGTAAATTGAATGCAGCCGAGGATAACAGATCATGACTGAGTGGGCTTGTTGAATGAAGGGTTCACTGTGGCTAATGATTCCCAAGTCACAACACTGGATCACAGCAGGACAGTGAGAGACTCAGCGCCCTTCTAGATACAGGATGTGTGATCCCAGGAGGCGCACTGTGACACAGACTGTGGCTGACAGAAAGCACACTGGGCTAGAAGAGAAATGAGATGTTTGTTTTCATGCTGCTTTTGAAGGTACTTTAAGGATTAATTCCACCACATGACTTAGTGGGACCCTTTTGGTACTTCGGCAGCGGGCCCCGTGCTCCGAGCCTTAGCTCTGAAGTGTGTTCTGTGAAAAGGGGACTCTGGGGCTAAGAGTTCCGACGTTCTCCTCCCAGATTTGTTCCTCACTGATGCTTTCCTTTCCTTCTGCCTCATTTTCTTCAGTCTGTGCTTTTCTTCTTGCTGTTTCTTTTCACTGTTACATGTTGTTTACTGGTAGGTGTGTTGAATTCTTACAAGCCAGATGGACTATAAGAACCACAAAGGCAGGAGCTATGTCTTTTCTTTTCATGTATGTAGAGATCTTTTTTTTTGTTGTTGTTTGTTTTTGTTTTTTTCTGGTACCAGGAATCGAACTTATGACCTTTTGCTTGCCAGGCAGGCACTGTGCCACTAAGCTAAATTCCCAGCCCCTCTGTAGAGATTTTAATTATCATGTACATCCAGAACCTACCATGGGGGTAAGTTGTTCAGTAAAGAACTTTTTTTTTGGTTTTTTTCCAGTACCGGGAATTGAACTCATGACTTTGTGCTTGCCAGGCAAGCACTGTGCCACTGAGCTAAATCCCCAGCCCCTCAGTAAAGAACTTTTGAACCAGGTGCTGTGACTCACTCCTGTAAGCCCAGCTATTCAGGAGGCCGAGGAAGAAGATTACAAGTTGAAAGGGCAACTTAGCAAACCCTGTTCCAAAATTTTAAAAAAACAAAAGGAGTTGGGGATGTAGCTCAGTGGCAGAGCACTTGCCTGGCATGGGTGAAGTCCTGGATTCAATCTCCAGTACTGCCAAAAACTGTAGCTATATATGGCTTGTTAATCACCATCCCTTGGGATTTTCTTTAAAGCATACAGTCTTCCTAACTTCTACCCAGGTTAAATTCCACTTACTTTATATTTCTGGGCTTTTTGAGATGCAGATAAATGAATGCTTCCTGAGTAAAAGAAGTGTGAGCAGAGTTGCTCATGTGCCGTTTCTCAGTGGCGTCTGTTACTTTTTAGATCTGGTATGACTCTAAGACATCCGCTTGCTGGGAAGGAGGGTGTACCATGAAGATGCCAGTAACCCTGGATACTGTGAGTCCCTTCCAGACCACTCTTCCCGCCTGCCTTGTTGCTCTTCTCAGGCTCCCATAACAAAGTACCACAGACTGGTGCTTCAGCAGCAGAAACGTATTTTCTCACAGTTCTGGGGGTAGAGGTCCCAGATGAAATTGCCAGCAGATTCAGTTCCTCATGAGAGCCTCTTCCTGGCCTGTAGACTGCCACCTTCTCCCTGTGCCCTCACGCGCCACACACGGAGGGAGGGAGAGAGAGTGGGAGCTCCCTGCCCCCATAAAAGCTCTGCTGCCATCAGAGGAGGGCCCCACCCTGTGACCTCATTTTTAACCTGAGTCACCTCCACAAAGGCCCCATCCATCACCAAATACAGTCCCATGGGGGGTGGGGTTTCAACATTTGAATGTGGGGGAGCACAGTCAGTAGGTATCACATTTCTGGATACAAAGAAGCAAGGATGTCAGGGTTCTGCATAGTAACAGGGCAAACAGGCTGGACAGGGAGGAGGGGGGCGTCACTGCTGATGGTGCAGGTTTCTATGGGAGCTACTGAAAATATTTTAAAATCTGTTATGAGGACAGTTGCATGGCTAAATATATTGAAAACTGTTTAAGTGTACACTTTAAATGTGGATTTTAAAGCATATTAATTATATCAGTGAAGTTGTTAAAATGTGAGCAAAAAGAGTTGGTATGAAATACGGAGGATGAATATAATTCTTCCTGATATGCTGACATTTGGAAGTGAAGACTGGTGCAACCACTGTGGAAATCAGTGTGGAGATTCCACCAGAAAACTAGGATTAGAGGTCACATTTGACCCAGCTACTCCCTTCTGGATATTTTTCCAGAAAAATTGAAAGCATCATACCACAGCAATATATGTGCACCAATGTTTGTAGCAGCACAATTTGTCATAGCTAGATCTTGGAAACCACCCAAATGACTATCAACTGAGGAGTGAATAAAAAAGATGTGGTATTTTTATACAATGGAATACTATTCAGCTATAAAGAAAGATAAACTAAAGGCTTTTATTGGTAAATGGATGCAACTACAGACCATACTCTTAAGTGAAATAAATCAGACTCACATGTGTAAACATCACATTGTTTTCCTAGTGTAAGACACTGAAAGAGTACAATAGAAGGGCTGGATGTGGTGGCGCATGCCTGTAATCCCAGCACTCGGAAAGCTGAGGCAGGAGGATCGTTGTGAGTTCGAGACCAGCCTAGGCTACAAAGTGAGCTCAAGGCCAGCCTGAACTGCATAGCGAGACCCTGTCTCAAAAAGACAAAAAAAAAAAGGGTACAATAGATACAGTGAAAGGGAAAGACACTGCTCAAAAGGAAAGAACAACTGAGATGGGGGAAAGGAGAAAAGAAGGAAGGGAAAAAAATACATATATATACACACACACACACACAATAGCTAAGATAATTTACTACTAATTTCTATTGGTTCATTTAAAGGAACAGTTAGTGCTTATATTGTTTGATCAATTTAGCATACCTATATCTGATAATCTGAGCAATTACTTTGAAGATAACAATGCAATATAATAACCATTATTAATTTCGTATCATCTTGGTTTGAAATTCTGTATCTTTTTTATTGTTTTTTTTCTTTTTTCTCTTTAAAAACAAAAAAGAGAATAATAACACTGAAAACAGAAATGGTAGTCACCACATGTGCCATAAAAAATGTCTCATACAGAACAAATAAAAATGAGTTTTTGAGCTGGGCATGGGGGTATATGCCTGTAATCCCAGCACTTGGGAAGCTGAGGCAGCAGGGTCACCTTGAGTTCAAGACCACCCTGGGCTACCTAGTGAGTTCAAAGCCAGCCTGAACTACATAGTGAGACTTTATCTCAAAAAAAAAAAGGTTTTGATGTAACTCTGGGCCTTCAGGCTCAAGGGACTGCATCAGTTACGATGTTAGACTCAAAGTGGCCCATTTGGGCTGTCCTGAGTTTCTAAAGGGAAGTTTCTTCCTCAGCTGAATCACAACTGTGTTGGCCAGAGGTATGTATGAGATGGATATGCAGATGTAAGGGACTTCTGGCACTGCAAGACCCAAGCCTCCTAGAGTGCAAGGTTAGAGATTAAAAGATAGCCTTCAGGGCTGCATGTCCAACAAGGATCAAAACATTGTCTTAGGGAATGAATGCTCTGGCCCACGTCCTCCTCATACTCCCATTTATTACTTAGCTTGCCCTAAAGTCAGTCATGTAACAGACCACCCTAACCCCTCCCCTGCCCTCTGTCCCCTATGTGAATTCCTGCACAGAAATCCTTTTTTTATTTTTTGGGGTTGTTTTTTTTTTGAGACAGGGTCTTACTATGTAGTCCAGGATTACCATGAACTTGCAGCGATCCTCCTGTCTCAGACTCCCGAGTGCTGGGACACACGTCTTTTGTCCTTTATCCTTGCTTCCTGGTTCTATCAATAAAAAGCCACAGAAGGGTCAGATGGGGGCTGTCATTTTTCCTGAGCTTCTCATGCTGAGAGGTTGGGTGAAAGCAACCTCAGAAGTCAGAATGCGCATGGACTCTGAATGGTCTTTCATCCTTCGCGCTGTACCAGTCGTGCACTGCAGCACACAGCCACTGCCACAAGCCCTGAGAGGTTCGAGACAGTGATGCTAGTTCTTAAATTTGTCAGTAGTGGTTTTAGTACGAAGAAGGGTATTTCAGTGGTCAACTCTGAGATCCAAGAGAGACCTTCCTAATCATCTACTCCAGTCCTTCACACATACAGGCTCAGAGAAATTCAGTTACTTGACCAGGGTTGTGGCAGAGCTGAAACAGGCCCCATCTGCTGGATTCCTGGTCTAGACCCCATTCTACTATAACAACCGCCTTGTTCTTTAAAAAAGGTAAAAAGTGGGGCCGGGGATATAGCTCAGCAGCACAAGCACCTGCCTGGCAAGCGCAAGGTCCTGAGTTCAATTTCCGTACCAAAAAAAAAGAAAAAGAAAAAAAAAGAAAAGAAAAAAGTGGAACAATAAAATAAGAGAGAGAGATTGGCCAATTCCAGGGGAGTAGGGGAGATAGCTATACTTTCTTCTTGCTGCCAACTGCAGGTTAAACAGAGCTGACATCTTAGTCCTCCAGCCTCACTCCCAACTTCCTAAATGCTTATGTATGCTTCTCCTTGCTAGTACTTTACTCGAAGCAAAATACAAGCCCTCACCTGATCCAGGCAGCTGCCTTACCCGAGGCAGGAAACCTGAGCGAAGGCCAAACCCGACAGAAGTGCCATTCCAGAAGGCCAGTAGCTGTGCACCATGCTCACATCTGTATTAGAGTCACTTAAAGAACCCTTGATGGTTTCTGTAACAAACAGTTTCACAGATTTGCCCTCAAAATTGGGTCATCAACCTGCTGAACCCAATGATGCAGGGAGCAAGAAGTATGTGGGTGCGTGAGGAAGAACAGAGTCGTTGCCCCAAACCAAGCACATCACATATGCACACATTTGTTCGCAGTCTGCCTGAGCCCCCTTACACAGGCAGGAAACGCACTCGTAGGCAGGGCTCTAGAGGAAATGTGTAGTATGGTGACGGGAACACTGAAAGCACAGAACAGGGAAGGCCACGTATGGGGTGGGCAGATAGAATGCATCGCTCGCAAGAAAAACAAGCAAAGATGGGTGTATATAATAAAGCAATGAGGGTAGACAGTTCCCCAAGTAATTGAAAAAATGGGCTGTTCTCTAGTTGAGCTTTTTTCTTTTTGAGTAACGCCAGGTCTGCCACATTTGCCTTTTCTGTGCCTACAAGTTTGTTTTGCCTTTGGGACTATACTTGTAAAGAATGTGAGTCTTATATATGGACATACTTGACAGCTCTACTCTGAAAGTTCCTTTGCAAGTGCACTTACTCCGAGGGCCGCTGTGTTACAGATACCAGTGTTTCAGCGAGGTGGAAGTGTGGTGCCGATAAAGATGGCTGTGGGAAGGTCCACCGGCTGGATGACTGACACCCCGTATGGACTCCGCGTGGCCCTGAGTACTAAGGTATTCGGAAAATTTTTATCTCCTCACAGTGGTAGCCTTCGGAACAGCATGTAAAAGTGGCGAGCCCCAGCTATAAGACAAGTGCGTCTGATGTTTGTCTGGAAATCAAGGTTCTAAATCATTGCCCAGCTCACCTACCCTTCCTGGAATTGTTCTTAAGGTGACTCTGCTACCCTGGCATGATGGGAATGTCTTTCTTAGGCACGTGACTATTGGTGCTCTTTAGTCTGGTACTGATTACTGCTCTTCTGAAAGCTCATCAGGTCATAGACAACTTGACCCTGTGGTTCACCCTTAAAACCCAGTCTCCCAGTGCAGGGTACCTGTGTCTATTTACAAACTGAGGGACCCCAGCCCCACTAAGTGACTTCTGTTCTTGTCAGGTGGCCCAAATAACTAAAATCTCTTTGAGTAAAGTCTGGGAAGATCCAGAATAGGTTTGTCCTTTCAAGATCTTTTGAGCCAAATGAGGCCTATGGCAGATTTCCCTCCTGTCCATTTGCCCAAATGTATTACAGGGCCAAACACCAATTCTTACTATAATGCTTATCCTTATTTGCATTATTGTTATAAAATAAATTATAGCTTCCTTTTCCATCTGTTTTGCTTACACACATCTTTGTGGGCCTAAGTATGGGCTTTGGACCCAGGCGAGGTCCCAGAATCAGGGCAGGAGACTGGCGATCTGAAACATACCAAGCACGGTCGACAATGATAATCTGCCACAATGCAGAAGGGAACCTTGTACTAAAAAAAGCCAGAGCCAGATACCATCCTCTAAATGAAAAATTATTTTCTGATTTTTTTTTTAAATTCACAGTTTCATTCTGTGAACTTCCTTGATTTTGTTGCATGTTCTGGGATAGTATTTTTTCAAGAAAGCCACTTAGAACACTTACCATCCTTCATAGTTTAAATTTCTTTCAGCAACTCTTTGTGCTCCTTCTGTGTGTCTTCCCTGTTCCCATCATTTCATCATCTATTCCAGCGTGACTAGGTATTTGTAGGACCTCTGTGCAGCTTGACTATCATATTAGCCAGCCTTCTGTCACGGTAATGGCTGGGGTGCTCAACTTACGAGAAGAGAAGGTTTGTTTTGGTTGACAGTACTGACGTTTTAGTCCATGAGCAGTTGGCCCTGTCACTTTGGGGCCTATGGGGAGTGCATGGTAGAGCAGAGGTACTCACCTCACAGCCAGGAAGCACGGAGGAGAGGAAGAGAGGTAGGAAGAAGCGCCCACCTTCAGAGGTGGGGGCCTGGTGCCCTGGAGCCCTCCCATAAGGCCCCACCTCTTCAAGGCTCTACCGTGTCCGAGCCTTTGGCATATGGGCCTTTGGGGGACATTCCAGACCCAAACTGCAGCAAATCATGCACTTTTGTTTGACATAATTTTTCATGGTTTCTAAAGTTACTTCCCTGTGGGGTCCGAATTCTTTCCCTGAAAGTACTACATAGGCATGTTCTCTGTGACCCCCGCTCCAGGGTTCCGCAGTGGGAGAGCTGTATCTTGATGACGGCCATTCATTCCAGTACCTCCACCAGAGGCAGTTCTTGCACAGGAAGCTTTCATTCTGTTCCAGTGTTTTGACCAACAGGTAACAGCAGCTAAAGAAGCTTTGTGTGTTCTTATTTTTTTGGTACCAGGAATCAAACTCAGGACCCTGTGCTTGCCAGGCAGGCGCTGTGCCGCTGAGCTATATCCCCAGCCTCTCTGTGTGTTCTTAAGTTATAGAATACTATCATTTTGGCATCCTGACATAAATGCATAGCGGATGTTTTAGGTTTCTGCATAAAGAAATGAATAGTGAAGGCTGTCTGCTTTTCAGTCACTCCATCATGAGTGTTTCTTGGTGTCTCCATCTCTCCCTCCTCTAAAATATAAAAAGGATTCAATTTAGGCTCCCATTAATTCCATTCATTCTTCCGTTGACCATTCATCTGATTCCTTACAGTCTGACTACAATACCCTGATCACATTTGTGATTTTTGTATTCTTTAGGAATTTTACGCCAAATGGCTTGTTAAAGGGAGGCTGGCTCGGCTAATTGTTAGCTAGTCCTGGACACAAAAAAATCATCTTTTTTCACCTCTTCGTCCTAGTTATTATGACTGTATGAATCAGAACAGATGGGAGAGGAACTCACGGTGGACGTGTTGACCAGTCCAAACCATCAGCCCGCTCCTTCTCCTCATACTGCTTGTGTCTATTCCAGATGTGCTGATGAGCGGGGACATTTTTCCAGCAAGTGTGTAGTGGAGCAGATCTTGGTCTTAGGCCTCAGGAAGGAGCCTTCTTCTGTGACCACCCACTCATCTGGTGAGGAAAAGTCCTTGTCTCCTGCTTGAATGAGGCTATCTTGTTCCTCTTCCTAAGGAAAATGACTTGGGGCTTGAAATAATATTCTAGGTACCTCTGAATGTCTTTATACTATGGATATCTGAAAACTGGAGAGTCCTACCCATGTTTAGTATGCAAAGGATGGAAATTATATCTTTCCAAGTGAATTTTGTGGACAAATCTCTTTGTTCCTTACAGTTTCTTTTCAACCAACATTGTACTCAAACAATGAAGTTTTTCATGTTTTAAAAAATTTGTGTGGCACATACCCATAATCCCAGCACTCAGAAGGCTGAGGCAGGAAGATTGCCATGAGTTCAAGGCCAACCAGGGCTACATAGTGAATTCAAGGCCATCCTGAACTACAGAGTGAGACCTTGTCTCCAAAAAAATAATTAATTAATTAACTTTAAAAACAACACTTCGTAAAGTTCATGAATAAAAGTGCTATTAAAATGATTCTCCTAAGTGAGGTAGGTTTAAGGTCTTATGGTAGATTCAGAAACAATGACAGATTTGAATAAAAGATTTTTCTCTGCTAGGTATTCCTCAAACTTTCTCTTTCATTGTCTTTCCATACAGATGGGAAAGCTGCGCCAGTGGCTTTTGTGTATTGTGCCGGAACGTCCAGCTTGAGCCTCGAGAAGCTTTCCCTGAACATTGGTGCAGACTGGGAAGTCCACATCCAATGAAGACAAGGGCCAGCCACTTGCACAGGAATACTCTGCACCTTTCAACCGCTTGGCCCTTTTCTGAGATTTGTGCTGCAATCTAATCAGTTCCTTGGCTGAAAATGATCTTTCACTGGTCACTAGTGTACAAAGAAACAGTGAATTGCACATTTTAAGATTTGAGGTTAAAAAAAAAAAAAAGATTTGAGGTTTTACATGTTAAGATGTGTGAGTGTGTTGCCAGGCGTGGTGGCGCACGCCTGTAATCCCAGCACTTGAGAGGCTGAGGTAGGAGGATCATCGCTAGTTCGAGACCAGCCTGAGCTACAAAGTGAGCTCAAGCCCAGCCTGAACTGCATAGTGAGACCCTGTCTCAAAAAAAAAAAAAAAAAAAAAGATGTGTGAGTGTCGTGCAAACACTACTTGTCTCATATACTCTCAAAGCCTGAGACATGGATGGAATTTGTGAGTTTCCATTGCCTCCTGGGTTACAGCCCTGTGCTAAGCTCTAGCCCAGGGAGCAGCTTCTCCTGGAGCAGTGGATGGAATTGTCTTCATGTGGCCAAGCCACCCTGAGGACCCACTTCCAGGGTTTGCATCAGCCCACAGTAGTCACTCTGTGGCAGCAGCAGAGCTGCCCAAGGCCAGGCTTCAAGTGGGCAGCATGTGTGGTGCCCCTATTACAGATGACCAAGTGAGGTAGAAATAGTATAGGCAGTCAGGTAGGGCTGGGTCCTCAAGGGAGTCAGTACAAAAGCACACTACAACCTGGCTGGAGGTGCATCTGTTGGGAGACCAGGCCTCAAGATAAAGACACACTGACCAGGCCTGCATACTGCCCCAAAGGACAAGATGACCAGTAGCACCTGGTCTAATAAAGTTTGGACATCAATCACCTCAGTAGGTGACCAAGATTCTTGGACTTATCACTTCCTAAAAAGCTCTTTGTTCCTTCCATGTGCATTTGCTACATGACTTGCTTCCCTACTGGAGCAATATTACCTAAGCCACTATACTTACAATCTTATTGGTTGGTTATAGCTGTAATCTATGTTGAACCCACATGGTTGTGCTCTATAAAACTTCCTCTGAGAGCCGAGCACAGTGGCACACGTCTGTAATCCCAGCACTTGCGAGACTGAGGCAGGAGGATGGTTGTGAGTTCCAGAGCAGCCTGGGCTACTAAGTGAGCTCAAGGCCATCCTGAACTGCACAGTGAGACCCTGTCTCAAAAAGACAATCAATCAATCAATCAATCAATAAAAACATCCCCTGAGAAGTGGGGTCCTTTGCAACCCATTTGGGGTCTCCCTCCTGCCTCTCAGGAGCTATTATCTCTCCCCCTCAATAAATATTTCCTACTGTCAACCTCTGTTGTTCCAAGAATTCATTCTTCAATTTTAGAAAACACAACAATTTTTGAAGAAAGGATCCAAGAACTAGTAGCAAGGAACTACTGAGCTATATCCCCAGCCCAGCATTTTGAAATGGATCTTTTGATTGCATAGTAATTTTTCTAATTACAAGGGCTATACAGGGGCTGGGGACTTAGCTCAGCAGCACAGTGCCTGCCTGGCAAGCGTAAGGTCATGAGTTTGATTCCCAGTACCGGGGGAAAAAAAAAAACCAATCCAGGGCTGTGCGATTATTATATAGAAGAACTGCCTTGGGTTCAGGAAAACTCAGTCACATGCAGCACCCTCCACTTTACACAGACCTTTCAGAATCAGGGTCTCAATGACAGGCAGCAGAAATGCAGTCAGACACAAATGCCTCATAATTTCTGGCTCCTGATGAACCATCCTCCCTAAAAGCTCTGAGTAATGAGACTCCCATGACAATATCACATAGTCCACTGTGCTTTGAAGAGTCTACTACCAAGCCCTCTGAATGCCCACCATAACTACGGGGGCCCTCTCCATTAAAATACCTTCTTGGATGGGTGGGCAAGGGTGGTATTGAAAGCCCATACCCTATCAGCCACAGACAAGGAAGGACACAAAAGCCAGCATCCTTGCCAGGCGTGGCAGCGCAAACCTGTAATCTCAGCACTTGGGAGGCTGAGGCAGAAGGATCATTGCAAGTTTTAGGGCAGCCTGGGCTACAAAGTGAGCTCAAGTCCAGCCTGAACTGCAAATTGAGACCCTGTCACAAACACACCAAAAAAAAAAAAAAGAACAAACCAGCATTCTAGAAGAAACAAAACAGATGGAGATATTGGCATTGAATATCAGATCTGCTTATCCAGAGACCAGTCTTAGTAAAGGCTGTGCTGCCATGGCAAATCCTACTGGAATTAGACTGCTGCTCTTTGACAGGTGCTTCCTGCAAAGCTGATGGAATCAGAGTCCTACCCAGTCGGGTAGGGGAAGGGAGCCCTGACTATATGTGCAGACTGAAGAGATCTTTGCCTAACTCATCTCAGTGGAGGAGTCTTAGCTCTCCATTTGCTTCTTCACTGGAAACAGAAGACCTGGGCTCTGCTTTGTTTAGTTCCACAGTCAACTGACTGAGTAATCCTGGCCAAGCCACTTAACCTCCTGCAGGCGTGGTTTCCTCATTTGTGAAAAATAGATCATCCCTGATATTCTGAGTTTTCCATGATCTAACTATAAAGAGACAGCAGATATCTCAATTCCTTGATTGCAAAATGGAATTAATCAAACCTACAACGTGCTTCATAGACTGAAAATACTCTACACAGATAGGAAAGCGGTATCTTTACAGTGGAGAAACCTGGGGGCCGCTATCTTGGCCAAATGGTCAAGATGCACATGACCTATAATAAAGCAACCTTGCACCCCCAAATAGGACTTGAGAAGGTCACACTGCATCTGTGACATTCCTCCCCAAATCCACAACCGCCATCTACTCATGTGAAAACCATCAGACAAACCCAGATCCAGGGACATGGTATAAAACACCTGAGAAGTGCTATTCAGAAGTGTCACAGTCATGAGAGACCAAGACTGTGGAATCCTCAGACACCAAGGCCTTCTAGCTTTACGACTCTTACAGGAATCTAAAATTATTTTTTAGGTTTTTTGGAGCACTCATGTGAAGTTGCTAGCTCTCAGTAGGCACTTAATGAATGGTAGGTGTTAACAGTAAGCAAACAGATTGCTTCTGACAGTGCTTCTCAAAGTAATAGCTTGCAGGGGCAGAAGAATGGGTGATAAGGAGCCATTAGCTAGCACTGTTGTGTAGCAGAAACCATTCCAGCCACAGGTGTTGTGTGACCTTGGCTGGAATATGTTATTAAAACTAGTTCTTTATCTCTGAAGAGGTTTCTGGGAGTTTCTGTGCACATCATCTGCCCTTTGATCATGGGCTCCGGTTGGATTGCTTCATGATAACATCGGTTTCCTCAGCTGTGCTGCTGGACAAATCTTGACGGACCTGCGCATCTGAGAAGGCATTTGATGCACAACTCTGCGCTAGATATTCCCAGCCTATCCTGACCCTGTGTGTCACACACACATCTTAATAAGTGGAGCTTCCTTCAGCAGCTGGGGAAAGGAAGCTCTGTAGGTGTGTGGCCCTGAGACAGCTTCTTCTCCACAAGCAAATCAGCCAAGAAACTGACTGCATTGGCAAAGCCTAAGTATAAGAAATGTCCTAGCCAGGTATAGTGTGCATACCTGTAATCACAGCACTTGGGAGGCGGAAGCAGAAGGATCACTGTGGGTTCTAGGCCAGCCTGGGCCATATAGCGAGTTCGGGCCACATAACGAGCTCCTTTCTCCAAAAAATTATATGTATGTAAAATATATATATGAAATTAATTTTCACACAGGAAAACTTCATTCAATAGATACATAACACACATGCATTAAGGGTCTTCTGTATGCTTAGCCCTGAGGGTGGGATGGGAATCTAGTCCCACCTTTACAGTCTTTAGGGCAAACCAAAAGTTAAATAAACTGAAACAATAAAATAGGATCAGCCAGGTGTGGTGGTGCACATCTGTAATCCCAACACTCTGGGAAGCTGACACAAGAGGATTTACAAGTTTGAGCCCAGCCTGGGCAGCTTAGCAAGATGTCATCTTAAAAGAGAATACCAGGGCTGGGGAGGTAGCTCGGTATGAAGGTTTTAGGTTCAGTCTTCTCTACCATACATACATAGGGGTCAGTGTTACGGATTTCAGAGTGGTATAGAGCTCTGTGCTAGGAACCAGCCTTTTAATGGTGGGGGAAGGAAAGCCCGTTTTGCTGTCTGGGCCTTTGGTAGGTTTCAGGGTGGGCAGCAATCTTTCCGGAGACTCTTTCAGCATTCGTGAGCGCCGTCGGGGAGGGGCCACAGCAGCTGGACATGGGGAGATGTTCAGGAAATTCGGGTAGAGTGAATGCTGATTTGCATCCTGAGTATCCCAAAGGCTCAAGTGTTAGAGGCTTGGTCATGATGGTGACATTGTTGGGAGATGGTGGCACTTTTCAGGAGCTGGGGCCCAGCAGGAGGTCCTTAAGTCACTGGGTCTTAGGAACCCAAAAGGGATTATTGGACCCGGGTCCCTCCTCTTCCTCTTTTGCTTTCTGGCCGTGAGTGTGCAGTTTTGTTCTGCAACAAGCTCCTACTATAGTGCTGCCTGATGGGACCAGGCGATCACGGACTGGACTCTCCACACCGTGAGCCAAAGTAAACCTTTAATTATTTCCTTAGGGTGACAGAAAGCTGACTAACACAGTGAGTAAATGTGTCATTCAACCACACCTAACCCCAAAGTAGTGTCACATTCAGATCTTAACAACTCCATTTACTGAGTGCTTAAGACAGTCCTCACACTATTTTAAATGCATTCCATAAATTACCTTGTTTAATCCTTCCACCCACCCAGTAACAGAATGACTATCATTGTATTCATTTTACAGGTAAGAAAACTGACACACAGACAGAAAGGAAAGCCGGGCATGGCGGCACACACCTGTAATCCCAGCACTTGGGAGGCTGAGGCAGGAGGATCACCGTGAGTTTGAGGCCAGCCTGGGCTACACAGTGAGTCCAGGCCAGCCTGAACTACATAGTGAGACCCTGTCTCAACAAGAAAAAAAAAAAAAGAAAGGAAAAGTAACTCAGCTAAAGTCACACATGCACAACCAGTAAGGGGCCACCCTCGACTTTGATCCAGGACAGTCAATCTCTAGAATATGCTGTCTTCTACTTTCCTCTCTAAAAGAAGTAAAGATCCATGGGCATTTTCATGGAGGAATAGGATAGGCTGACAATTCCAGACCTAAGATTCTTCTAAGCTGCACCCCTTGAGCCTGGAAGTATTCCCTATTTCAGCTGTCGCTTCCCCCTTTCCCCATAGTCTCTAATCTTGTATCAGAGAGACGGTCACATGGGAACAGCTACAGCTGCAGACTGGGAGAGGCCTATGCTCTGCCAGACTTAGGATGCAGCCAACTTCTCCTAACCAGAGAACAGCTACCAAGGGCAGAAGACAAGAAAGAGGCCGGGCAGGCCATCCTCTTCCCACACGCTTGTGCCCTCACTCAGCACCCTAGGCCACTCTCTGGTAGGCCATCCCAGGACTCAGTGAGAATCTGGTTCACTATCCGGTTACAGCTTCTACCTCAGATGCCTAATGCCGCTCAGCTTAATAATCAATATATAATCCACTCAGACGCACCTTTTGTGGCCAACTTGGTCTCAGTGTTTACCTGGGGGATGAGGTCAAGTGGGTGAGACAAGACGGGTTTCCTCGGCTGAGGACGCTGAGCATTTTCCACACACACAGTTCCACCAAGCGCTGACATTCTAGAAGAGATGCTTAATCCAGTCATAAATAATGTTTTGACATCCTAGAGCTTTAGAAAGTAGAAGTCACTGTCTTGGATACTTTTCTCTCACTTCTGGGACAAAATACCTGATGCCCAGAATTAAGGAAGGAAAAGTTTATTTATCTCACAGTTTGTGGAGGTTTCAGTCTGTACTCAGCTGGCTCCAAGGCAGGGTGACACATAGCAGAGGGCCACCGCTCATGGCAGCAGAAGACGGCAAAAGCAACAAGAGCGAAAAAAGAGCAGCTGCAGAGAGCAAGTCTCTTTCCCTCTCCTATATTGTATTCGTGCTGCCCGCCCCAGGGCAGGTGTAGCACTCATACCCATAATCCCAGCACTGGACCATGGATCAATCACAGACTTTAGCAGCCCGCCCCTGACTGCCTGCGGCTTTTGGGGGAAGACATCGAGACACAAACCATAACAGTCACATTCTGTAAAATATACAGAATAAGGCTTTCCTCAGTGTGAACGCCCTGGGTTCAGTCCCTACTACCACACACACATACACACAAAGACGCATAGAATGTTGCCCTCAGATTCAGTATCTCCCATTATAACTAGCTTCTTATTGTTGTTTGTTTTTGTTGTTTTGGTTTGGTTTTTGAGATAGGGTCTC